GCAACTGCGAGAGCGACCAAAGGGCCTGGGACCCCAGGGCCCTGTTCGGACAGCCCCGCCGGCCGGGACCTTGCTGCCGGGTATTCCCGCAGTGTGGGTCCACTTCACGGCAGGGTGCAGTGGGGCGACCTGACTCTACCCGACGCTCACCTGACGCTTCCGTGGCCGCGTTTCTCTCCGACTCCGGCATCGACGAGGTCGCCATCTTATTTTGCCTGCTGCGGAGGGACCCATCGGCCTAGCTTGAGCCGGAACTACTTCCTACGGCGACCTGGGGAAAGATCGGTTTCCAGTGTGCCGGAAGGTGTCCCTGAGGCCACAAAGTCATAGTTGAGTCTGGGGAGGGGCTAGGATTTATTTGTGGCCTAGTATGGGTGACGGAGCCCGCTACGGGTCGGGGGACTATTTCCTCTCTTGGTGGAGGGTTACAAAGGGAGCGGTACGTGCCACTGCTGGGTTCCTACCTTGGGCCGCAGAGTTGGGCGCGGCGAAGGCCGCCCTGCTGCTCGGGGGCGTGGCTCCCAGTGGCTGACCACGCCTTTCCCGGAACCGCTCAGAAAAGCTTGCAGCGACCGGGAGGTTTTGACTTGGAGGTGGAGAAATAAGTGTTATCAGTCATTTTTCCTGGCACTTGCCGGTTACTGAATACTCTCACCGAACTAGTAATCGCATCCTTTTCGATTAGGTTTGATGTGTCTTGGCAGATGGGGAACTTGTAATTCTTGTTGTGCAGATGGGGGCACCGAGGTCCTGGGATGGGATGTGGCTGGTCCAAGGTCACTTCAAGTAAAAGGATTTGGGAGGCAAGTCCCAACGAGTTGGGGAAATGGAGAGAATTCCGTACTTGGCCCTTAGTGAGCTTTGCATAATGCAGTAGTCCCCCCCTCTCCCCAGTGTCTTGCTTTCCAAGGTTTCAGTTACCCAGGGTCAACTGTGGTCTGAAAATATTAAATGGAAAATTCCAGAAATCAACAGCTCACAAGCTTTAAATTGCACGCTGTTCTGAGGAGTGTGAGAGAATCTTGTGCCATCCAGTTCCTTCCCGGGATGGGGGTCATTCCTGTCCTGAGCATCCACCCTGTGACCTCCCTTTTAGTCACTCAGTGGCCCTCTCAATGATCAGTCAGTTATCAGAGAGGGAGGCCATGTTCCATAGCTTTTATTACAATATATTGTCATAATTGTTTCCATCTTATTATTTATTGTTGTCAATATCTTACTTGCCTAATTTATACACTAAATTACCTTTATCATAGGTATGTGTGTGTAGGTAATTTACATGACCTATGTCCAAGGTTTCAGGCATCCACTGGGAGGAGTCTTGGAACTATCCCGTGTGGCTAAGGGGACGCCTGCTGTCTATGTTACACTAATCAAATTGGAGGTCAGGACATCGTCCACAGCCCTCCTCTGCTCAGTGTAGATGGTGTAGATGTACGTTTGCAGCCCTTCAGAAAGGTGTGCACCTCCTGATGCCTGAAATGCCCTCTTTGGCCCTACCCTCTGTTTAAGACTTTAGCATTTTGCAAAGGAGCCCGGTGCCCTGGTTTATCCCTAAGTCTCTTTGTTGCACAATGTATATTCCTCATTTGAAAAATACAATTTTTTGGGAGAGGGGGCGGGGGGAGAATCTTAAAAATTTCTTTAAAGAAAATCTATTTAAAAAGATAAAGGGTGTTTTGAGCTGTTGTAATTTGTATGCACCTGAGCATGAGGGGGGTTCCCTGGTCCTTTTGTAGGAGCAGGTTTTGGCAGGGGAAATAGAGCATGAGGCCTCTGGATGGACTTGGCTCCCTCTTCTCCTCCTCCCCCCATCTGGCAGGACCAGGCCCCCCAGAGCAGCCCTGGAGAGTTGGGTCAACATGGCATAATGGCAGGTTGGTTTTGCACTCAACTGGTAGTTTTCCAACATCAACCGGATTCCTCATTTCTACAGAGCCCCTCCAACCCACTCCCACCCCATGCTGATAGGATGCGTCCTGCCTCAAAGATGTCATGGTACTCAGTAGTAGCCCCCCAGTACCCATGCCTATCCCTAGTCTAAGGCTCAACCCTGACCTTGGCCTTTGCCAGGAAATCACAAGATTGCAGAATGTTATCATACAGAAGGTAAAAGCCTCATCATGGAACAGAAGAGCCCAAGGTCCAGAGAGGGGAAACTCATGGTCCAAGGTCATGGCTCCTTGGAAACAACCTATCAGAATGCCTCCATCACAAAGATAGGCAAGCCAACCCTGGTCTTCTGGCTGCTAATCCAGGGTTCTTCCCATCAGAACATGCAGTTTGTAGTTCTGGCCTCAGTTTTGATGGGAAGACTTCTAGAAGCAGGGAAGGGCCTCTAGGTCAGAAGGACATGAAAGTATACCTTTTGAGAAAAATGCTGAGGCGAGGAGCCAAGAGGGGAAAACACCCTGTACAAGTGCTTTGCTGTACCATGTTATCTAAAGGGAGCAGGGGGCCCAGCCGGTGTGGTTCAGTGGTTGAATGTCGACCTATGAGTCAGGTCACAGTCTGATTCCCGGTCAGGACACATGCCCGGGTTGCAGGCTCGATTCCTAGTGTGGGGTGTGCAGGAGGCAGCCAATCAATGATTCTTATTACTGATGTTTCTATCTATCCTCCTTCCTCTCAGAAATCAACAGAAATATATTTTTAAAAAATACTCTGTACCTAGTCATTTTCTAAGCATTTTATCTACAAGTAAGGGGTGGAGCTGGGATTGAAAGCCAGCAGTCTGGCTCCAAACTCCATGCTTAGAACCCGGTATCATTGCCCATGTAGTAATAATTATACCTCGGTCTTAGATGATACTTTCCTAAATCAGGCAGGATGGTTACTATTTTTCCTTTTTGCAGGTGGGGAAACTGAAGCTGAGTGGCTCAAAATCCCACTAAAAGTTTCCTAGTGTAATGCGAGGACTGCGATTCCAGCCAGATCGCCTGCAGCAGATAGTCATCACACAAGCAAATGTTTACTGTGCTCTTACCAAGTCCCAGGTACTGCAGTAGGGGCTTTACATGCATTTCTTAACTAATCATCACAACAAGTAGAGATCCTCCTAGGTATTCTCAGGATTCCCATGTTACAGACAAAGTAACAGAAGCTCAAGAGAAACGAAATGGCTTGTCTGAGGTCATGCATTTGCTGGTGTCCTGGCTCCCAGTGCCGTGCTTCTGCCTTTGTGCTAGAGGCCACAGGAGGGCAGCAGAGCGGAGAGCAGGCAGTCAGCAGGTGGGTGCTCCGGGACTCATCTCTACCTTCTCTCACCCTGCCACTGCCATCTGTGAGTTTAGCTAAACCTGTGCTTAAAACTGTACCACCGCTTGGGATAATGAGCCGCATAAGTTGACTCCCCATGGTGTAAATTTTTTTAAAAAAATATATTTTATTAATTTTTTACAAAGAGGAAGGGAGAGAGATAGAGAGCTAGAAACATCGATGAGAGAGAAACATCGATCCGCTGCCTCCTGCACATCTACTGGGGATGTGCCCGCAACCCAGGTACATGCCCTTAACCGGAATCGAACCTGGGACCTTTCAGTCCACAGGCCGACACTCTATCCACTGAGCCAAACCGTTTTCGGCACCATGGTGTAAATTAAAGCTTCCTTTAATCTGTCCTAAATCTTTCTCTTTCAAAGTATTGGAAGGGTTAGAGGGTGGTGGCGAAAGACCCTAGGACAAGAACAGTTGGATTCAGAAAATAGTCTATAGTCCAAATAGTGTTTGCTTGTGATGGCAATTCCTGAGACACAAACAGCAGGTGACATTTATGTAAACATCTCCTCTGAGCATTACAGAGGCATGAGAGTAAGCAGCGCCTGGATTTTCGTGTCTTTTAACCTGTCTTGTTTCCTATATTCCCACTTAACACAGTTTATAGTCACAAGAAAGCTACTAGATACTTACTCGTTGAATGAATGAACCCCCACTCTATAGACAAGGAAACAGAGACACAATAGCAGGGATCTAGCTAGGAAAATAAGACTATGCCAGACGATTCTGGGAAGAGGGAATCTAATATGGAGACTTAGTTTCAAAGCTGGTGGTCAGAAAGAACGACCAGGAGAAGTTGAAGCAAATTTGAGATTAGTAACTCAAAGCCACAACCTTCCCTGAGGCTGGATCTATAAAGGGAGGAGATGGCATTTCCAAGACCAAGAACTGGGGCCACCCAGAGAGGAGGAGCTGGGGCCATGATGGGCCTTAGTAGCAGGAGCTAAAACCACAGAGGAAACACTGTAGCTGCTGAAGCCACCCCCGCCCTCAAAATGAGGTACAGTGAAAGGAAATGAGCTATAATTAGCATTGGCTAATTGATATAAACAATAGCTAAATTAAGTTCCTATAACGAAATGAAGTTGAATGAAATGACTATTCAAGGACCAGCTGTGTATGAAACAGGGATCTTATCTTATTTAATACTGACGGCTATTACCAAGAACAGTTACTGGTACATAGTAGGTGCTCAGTTAATCTCCAGCCATTGACCAAAGAGTTATATATGATACTGTTATTCTGCCTGTGAGCCCAGGGCTTGTATACCCTTTCCCTCTGCCCCAGGCACAACAGAGGATGTGTGTTCTACACTCACCCAACCCTGGCTCAGAGACCTCTCATACAGCTCAAGGGACCATCTTGGAGGGGAAGGTGGTGACTTCTGGGCCTGTGAGGAGGAGGCATGCACAGCAGATGAGAGTCTGCAGCACAGAACTAGCGAAGGGAGCTAACATTTACTCAGCACCCACTGTGTACCAGATGCTGTATACACTTTATTGCATTTTATTCTCACAGGAGCCTGCATAGCACAGGTCATTTTCCCCATATTAGAGGTGATGAAATGGGATTTCAGGGAGGTGAGGATGTTTGTCCAGCTGGATTTCAACCTTGAATTGTCTGGCTCCAACATCTTGCTCCTTCCAAGATACCAGCTGCCTCCTATTGAGGGCAGGGGAATGGAATCTGACTTCCATGTCATACAGAAAGCTCCATGAGCCAATGCTGAGGCCAGGTTTCAGATGAGTGACAGCTTGAGAACACAACTTTGACAGCTGTGCTGAGACTGGCCTGGAAGCAAGTGGTGCTAAACTGGCATTCCTAGGAACAGGAGCTGTGATCATAAAGATAAGAGATGGCCAGGGGCTGCAGCAGGGCACTGCAGAGGTCCTGGGCCCTGAACAGAAAGTCCTTGGGCTCTACTCCCAAAAGGAAAAGCTCCCTACTAACTGGCTCTGTGACCTTGAGCAAGTCATTCAACCATCTCAGATCAATTCCCTAACTTGTCACAGGGTCACCATGCCTGCTGGGTTGCCATGGAATTACATCAGATAATGCAAGGAGCCAGAACTGGGGCAAGTCCGGGCCAGGCTCCAATACTAATTAGTTGTATGATCTGAGGCAAGTCGCTTCACCTCCCTGAGCCTTAGTGTTCCCAGCTGTATAACAGGCAGAGTACATGCCCCCAAATTGCCATGAGAATGCAGTGATTGAAAGCATGGGCTCTGCTCTAGCCGGTTTGGCTCAGTAGAGTGTCTGCCTGCGGACCAAAAAGTCCCGGGTTCAATTCCGGTCCCGGGTACGTACCTTGGTTGCTGGCTCCTCCCTGGCCTGGGCCCTGGGGGCTGGTGCAGGAGACAAGCAATCAGTGTGTTTCTCTCACATTGATGTTTCTCTCGGTCTTTCCCTCTCTCTTCTACTCTCCCTAAAAAAAAAAAAGGAAAAATATCCTTGGGTGAGGATTAACTACCTAAATAACTAAATAACTGAAAGCATAGGCTCTGGCCAGTGTGGCTCAGTTGGTTGGAGCATTGTCCTGTGCACTGAAGGTTCTCAGGTTTGATTCCTGGTCAGGGCACATACCTAGGCTTTTTAAAAAATAGATTTTTACTGATTTCAGAGAGGAAGGGAGAGAAACATCAATGATGAGAGAGAATCATTGACTGGCCGCCTCCTGCATGCCCCCTACTGGGGATCGAGCCCAAAACCCAGGCATGTGCCCTGACCTAGAACCTAACTGGTGACCTCCTGGTTCATGGGTTGACATTCAACCACTGAGCCACACCTGCTGGGCTGTTTCAGTTTCAGTCCCAGTTGATCCCTGGTGTACACAGGAGGCAACTAATCAATGTCTGTCTGTCTTTCTTTCTCTCATTCCTCCTTCCTTCCTCTCTAAAATTGATTAAAAAACAAAAAGCATGGGCTCTGGAGTGTAATTGCCTGGATTCAAATCATGGTTGTGACAAGCTGTGAGCTGTGAGCCTTTGACTGATCTCTCTGTGCCTCAGTTTCCTCCTTTGTAAAATGGGGGTGAACATAAGCACCCTCACCTCATGAGTTGTGATGATCAAATGATATAGCCAGTCAACAGAAAGAGCACAGAGCAGTTCCTGGACCAGTAAGCTCTGGGTCACTGTGAGAAGTCATTAGCCCTGGGACTGGCATCTGATAGCAACTAGAGCTGCAGGCACCCCTGTAAATGCTAATCTTCAAAGCAGGCCTATGAGGTAGGTAACATTACTGCCCCATTTTATTCATGAGGAACTGAGTTATTCAGCAGTCCACTGA